TGGTTTTTTTTTTTACTCTCTGGAAGCCTAGTTTAATAAAGCCCATGCATGAAGTCAGAGTACATTCAGTCTTGTATGGAGGGGTTTGTTTTGTTTTTAAACAAAGTGATGGGCTTATTCACAGGGAGACAAATGCCAACTTTGTTGAAAAGTAAGGATTACAGGAAAAAAACACCCTCATAATTAGCAGAAAGAAAAGATTAGGTCTTGGGGGGCGTGGAATTTATTTGCTGGAGCATGAAATGGCTTATATGATCTGACTAGGTCAGCCCAAGATAGTATTTTGGCAGTTACTAGTTACCTAAGTAAAACAACAGTTTTATGTTTTGGGGGAATATGAAGCTATTGAGAGAAGTAAATAAATGATCTGTTTTTATTTGGCATATCAACTTCTACTGTGATTAATAATGGATGCTTAAGATGATCGCTCTATGTCTTCTTACATGATCCTGAGTAGTATGGTGGTCATCTGCCTGTGCTTGAGAACACACAGGATTTGTAATATTGCTGCTGTGGGAGATGCTGTTGTGGGGGGAAGAAAAAGTTCAATTGTTTTATAAAGAAAACAAAATATAGGAATATTTTAAAGAAATCCAGTAACGAAATCAGTTTTAAACTGACTGATATCTTGCTGTGAAAAATAATGAACTTTATTTTTGCTGATGTGATGAGTTTGTCGTGATACAATAGTAATATGTAAAAACCAAAAGGTAAGGATTTTGTATGTGTCTTTGAGCATCATAATGTTAATTAGTAAGGCAGCGCTGTAGAGCTTGGGTAGCAGTGACCTTTCACTTCCTAGAAATTGTTCAGAGACCTCATTCAAAACTGTACATGCTTTGAATTTAACTAATCCAGCTATGCATGTGTAATAATATCTAATACAAATACATAAATGTATATCATATGGTAGTTTCAAGTGTTCTTAGCTGCCAAAACTATAAATTAGTCAGGATGTGGTCAACTTCTGTCATTTTCTGTTTTGTTCAGACCCTTCCCTGTCTAAATACAATTTATTAAACTAAGTGCATTCGTTTTGCTACTGCCAGATGCTGTGTAGAGATTGAGTTGGAATCTGTGTGTGACTGCTTATTATGCTGATCAGTCTAGATCCCTTGTAGACCTATTTGTGTGTACTTACACTGTCCTTTGTAGTGACTGAGCGGCTGAGGGAACTGGGGTTGTTTAGCCTAGAGAAGCGGAGGCTGAGGGGAGACCTTATCGCTCTCTACAACTACCTGAAAGGAGGGTGTAGTGAGGTGGGTGTTGGTCTCTTCTCCCATGTAGTTAGCAATAGAACAAGAGGAAATGGGCTCAAGCTGCGCCAGGGGAGGTTTAGGCTGGAAATTAGGAGAAATTTCTTCACGGAAAAAGTAGTCAAGCATTGGAACAGGCTGCCCAGAGAGGAGGTGGAGTCCCCATCCCTGGAAGTGTTCAAAAAACGGGTAGACGTGGCACTTCGGGACATGGTTTAGTCTAGTCTACCCTTGATTGGTTTAGTGTGGATTTGGTGGTGTAGGTTAATGGTTGGACTGGATGATCTTAAAGGTCTTTTCCAACCTAAACAATTCTATGATTCTATGAAATTGTTTTGTATAGTGTCTTCCACGATAAGATTCTAGTCTGTGTCTGTAGCCCATATGGACATTCATAATATGCATACAATGGCAGGCACTTACTCTTAGACAGATACCTTCTTTACCTTGTTTTGTAGTAGGTTAAACACGTTGAGGACCCTTTAGTGGGGAAATAAATGTACTTGGCTGGCAGTTTATGCAGTATGTTAAGCCTCAAGATAAACTGAAGCAGCTTAAAATTCTGTGAACATGAAATTTTGAGACTCAATTTTTCAAGCGCTTCCAACATGTTTGTTACTTCACTTGCACAAGGAATGTCACAGTGTTGTGTTGAAGGGCTGAGAGGCAGGAAAACGGAGTTTAGTTGTAGTTTTGCCATTCTGACTGCAAAATACAATTGATTGTACTTTATCTCAACTAGAGAAGTACCCACGTCAGTTAAATTATGCATATACTTAAATGTTTGCAAGCACATACGCTTTGTGGTAATTACTGCCATATACTATGTGTGGGAGTGTAATTGAAGATATAGGACATTGCGTGTGAATTGGGAGGCTTAGGTTCAGTTGCTGGCTCTGCCTTGCAAGCTTGTTTGATAGGTGCTTGACACTGCTTCGGAATTTGTTGTTTAAGCAGACCTATGCCATCTTAGTCCAAAACAAATTTAGTTTTGAAATGTTGGTTTTCAAAAGTGATTATGTGATTTTTTTTTAAAAATTATTTTTACTTTCTAGGTTATCCTGGTTTTAATTGTATTTTACATGTGTTGCACAGTTTTATCTTTGGATTAAGGGATGTAGGTTTTAGTAGAGTAGGGAAGTTCTCCAGCCTAAGCTTCCAGCAATGAACTACAAGATTAGAGTAATAGTAGTTTCAAATGAACTCTTAACAGAAAACAGACAGTTTGGGTCTGTTGAACTGAAAAGCGGACCTGATAAATTTCCATTGTCCTGGGCATTGTTTAAGTTGGAAATTATTGTTGTGGCTTTTTTCGGAGTTGATTAACTGTACTAATACTGACTTTTTTTTTCTTGTGAACGCACAAGTATTTTGTTTTTAATTTATGATGCACTCAGTTGAGACTAGATGAACTAATCTCACAGCTTGTTGGTGCTGGGCGGTGGGCTACTGCCTTGTCTTTGTTCCCCAGGGCTCTCTTTGCTCTGGTGCTTATCTGACCTCCTGGTAAGCTGCTTCAACTTGCAAACCTGGCAGAAGACTTGGGGTTTGACCAGTTTTCTGCCAGGTTTGTCAGTTTATTTATCTGATTTAACTGACATGAGGGCTAGAACTGTGCGGCCAAGAATGGAAGAAGTGTTGGTGAACGTGTCCATTTCTGCAGCAGCAAGCCATTAAATCAGCTCAGCTGTGCTGCCTGACAGCACCTTCAGAAAAGGTCATCCTCCTTTGGAGATAGAGTACTTGTATGAAAGAATATAAGTGCAATTATTAATTTAGATCCAAAGAGTAATACCAGCGTCGTCTTTTCTACTACCAAAATTTTCCCATGTAGACTTTCACAAAAAGAAAATTTTACTTTTTTTCCAGTTTAATAATTCAGGGGGTTTTAATTACAAATATAAAGCAAGTTGTTTTACAGACTGATCTTAAGTACAGTTTCTCATTATGTTGATCAGACATATTTGTGTCTTGAAGTAATGTGAAGTTGATAGTACTATTCTGGTATAGCCGAAAATGGAATTGGAGGAGGTTAAAACTCTTTTATTTTGTATTAGGATGTACTTAAGTGAAGTCTTGAGTCCAAGCAGACAGGGTTGTTGCTCATGTAACCCGGTTGGTGATACCACCTTATGGCATAAGGGGTCAAAGTGTGCGTCTCAGTAGATAATTTTTTGGCATCAGGTGTTTCACCTTATTTGTATACAGAGCTTAGAAATGAGTGCTTCTACGGTAACTTTATGGAGAAGTAGTAATTAAAATTTAAGAAAATCTGACTTGGATCAAATTGATACACTCTTTGGGGACAGCTGGGAAAAAAATCAGTGCTTCTTTAAAAGAAAAAGTGCACTTACCATTCATGAAAAATAAAAATTACCTAGTCCCCTGTTTTGCTGTCTCTGTTCTGGTTATTTCCAAATATATTGCATTCTCTTCAATAGCATTTAGAACATCTTAGCCATACCATTGCTTTTTACTGAGTTTGCATGTTTCTGCTGATTACATTATATGTGAAACTCCCTGTTTTCCAGTTGTCTTTAAAGGGTATATATACCTTGTATTTGTTAATTATACTCCTGTGATTGCTGGAACAGCTATTTAGTCCTGCTAGAGAGGTAGTAATCTGTAGAGGATGCAAATAGAATGAGTAATGGACTGTTACAGAAACCTTTTTTACTGTTTATTTTTCATAAGCATCTAATGATTGTACATACCTGCCTTATTTGAGAACATGCTTAAAAATCACTCCCACAGGAAACTGTAGTCTTGCCATCTTGTGTAGGAATATGATGTAGCTCTGAGACTGTCTTGAGTTTCTGCACATGAAAGACTTTTTGATGAAAAATACGTGAAACTTTTGGTTGAAGACTTGCAAATGTGAATGAAGTTCTTAAGATATTAATTGGTGTCTTTTATAATACAGGCAAATCACTACCTTTTTTAAATACTGTTGCTTTTAAATGTGAAACTGCTTTTGAAGCCTTATGCTGGTGTGACAGTAGTGGTAGAGGAGAGGGAAATTCCTTGTAGCTTGGAAACATGTCCATTTCTAAGCTGTCGGTGTAGTGCAGAAGCCTGCTCTTTAATAATTTATAATAAGCAGAACTATTTTATTTCATGGAACAGTCTGTTATTATTAGTCTATTTAGTGTACTTTTTACGTATAGCTAATTTAGTTGAGGGAGCCTCAGAAGTGACTAAAGACAATGTACCATGACAGGTCTTTGCATCCTGTAGTGGATTCTCTTAGTGACTAGAATAGATAAAATTCTGTCTTACCATTGATAACACATTGCATCGGGAAATCATGCACATAGTTTAATGTTAAAAATTTTTTACGGGCCAGAGTTTGGAAATGATCATAGTCACAGTATTTCTGTGAGAAGCATTTCCTCATTGGTTAACAACAGTAGGTTAATGCTAGCACTTCCATGCTTCCTTTCACATACTGAAATGGCCTAGTGTTCTCACTTTTCTGTGTGTAAGCATGTGTAATGTTAGGAAGACTATTTTTTTTTAAGTATATGGTATATATGTATGGATGAGATCTGTTGGGAATCTTGTATTTCTTTGCTGTGTAACTTCTTTGAATTAGTTTACGAAACTTAAAATGTAGTCAGCCATTTAAACTGCCCAAATTTAAAGTTATTTTAGCCAAACCAACAACAAAAAGAACCCCCAAAAATTTGTGTGTGTATGCCAATATCTAACTTTTTTTCATTTTTTAAATTTTTTTTATTTCAGTGTGCAACTATGTCGCACTCTCAGTGAAAACAAAAGCCATGATAATATCGGTTTCAGAGGTAAGTTGTGTGGGTTTTTTGGTTGTTTTTAATTAAATAAAAAAAAGCCTGGAAACAGTTGATCATGCATGTATCTGCTTGGAACATTCATATATGGTGACCATTAATGCATGCTAAAGGCAAATACTACAAATAGCAAGGCAGTACAAAAATCCACAACTAGGTTTGTCTTCAGATGTCCAGGTGAGAGATTTCTTACAGTAGTAAATGGTGGCGGGGTAGTCCAGTATTTGGTCTGTGCTGTAGAAAATGGAATTCCATTTTGCAAACTCAACATAGAATTATATTTTATTCTAAAAGTTAAATGTATGAACACTAATGTATGTAAGTGTGATTGTATACTGCAGAAAGTAATTTTTACAACAGTACCTGAGTTACAGACTTTTTGTGGTTTGTTAGTGAAAGACACTGCTGTCTTTAAGTTTAAAATTCTCACTTCAAGAAATCTTTGGTATTTAAAGAAAAAATAATTTTTTGTTTCTTTTGCAGAATCTGTTGGAAGAAAAGCTTCCATATTGCTAAGACCACACATGTGCTATGCTGTTTAGATGGTGTTTTGGGTTCTTGCTAAAGTAGTCATAATGGGCAATTGTAGTAGCAGAAAAGATAAATCAAAACATTCCAATGTAAATTATAAGTAATATTATTAAGTAAGAAGAATTTATTGTTCAACAAAGCAAAATCACTATTCCCAAAGCATTTGGAGAAATGCTGCCGGATGTTCTCTGTTCTAGACAGAGGTTGACAATTTCAATATGCTGTTTTCTTTTTCTTTGTCCTTCCTGTCAGGATCTAAAAGATCCAGTGGGAATGACTAGGTAGATATGTGCAGTGGCTATGTTGGAGGAATTAATAGAGAGTAGCAATAGGCCTTTTGGTGATGGAAAAAACCCTGAAAATGTGGATAACCTGGAGTGAGGTACAGAGATGCTGACTGCTAAGGATTTGTCTGAGTCCACATGACGTGGATCCTGTTCTGAAAACTGCACTGGCACTTGCATTTCTGCCTTTTAGTTCCAGAACGACATTTATTGAAGACCAATATACCATAAGCTTATGGAGGCAGGTCGGATTTAGCAGTGTACATGTGTAAAAAATTCTCCACAATGCGGGGAGTGACTTGCAGAGGCATGTCTGAGGCTATGCCTATGGCTGGTTTGGGTTCATTGTAAATTATTAAATTGCATACTGCACCGAACTGTCCTCTTGAATTGGCCTTCAAAGTAGTAGAGTTATGTTTTACATAGCAGGATTGGTTTAGGCATCATTTCTATATTTAAGTCTTTAGCAATTAGTGTTCTTTGCCAAAAGCACTGAGATAGGTAAAATTAACCTGTCCGTTTAAAAAATAAATAAATCTGCTTTTAATGCAGCTACAGTGGTCTGTAGATACCAAGTTATTGAGTACTTGGCTTGAGTCATTAAGATCTGTAACTTGTATACCCATGGTGACTATTGTTTATTGAGCAAACCACATGGTACCAAGTGCAAGGTTGAAAACATGGAGTTTTACTATTTTTCATATACTAAAAAATATAGCAATGTTGTAGTGTATTATTTAAGAACAATTCTTTACAAGTTTACCATAGCTGTTTTTGCAATCACCATGTTTAACATTGCAATATTTTTCTCAAATGCTGAAACCTTTAGTGTTTCAGCTTAGTATTTAATTCTTCTAAAAATTCAGCTTTTACAAATGCTTTTGTAAAGCAGCATTCTTCAGTTAAGGGAGTCTTAATAAAATAAAATAACCCCTTGTTAAGCATTTTTTCTCCAATTACATTTTACTTTCTCCTAGAGAAATGGTTTTTGAAAACCTATCTGTGATGAGATATGATTAAGAAAAAGTACTGGAATGTTTTCTGTGTATTGTATTTTTATATATATGTGTGTATAGATAGGTGTAATATGATATTTATGTGACTTATATGTCAAAGGTGTCTTCGTTAAACCAACTGCCAAGACTCAAGTTGTTATGTGCAGGACTGTAGTTTTTCATCCCATTTTACTGTTACTCCATAAACTCTCTAGGGAGAGTGGATCATCTCTTACTGTCTGCTTGTGTGAAGTCTTGAGATATTGATGCTCAGATTTAATCTATCAGCAGTAATAAAGTAATTCCCCTCATTGGTAAGAGAAGCATATCCCCTTTACTTGCAGGGTGTCTGAAGTCTACAGCATTATTGTAAGCACTGCTTTAAAAATTAGACCAAGGGTTACCTAATATATTCCTTAATCATCTGTTTTCTTTCAACAGATATCCAGCAGGCTTTGTATGAGCTTGCATACCACGTTGTCAGAGGAAACTTAAAGCATGATCAAGCCTCTAATGTTCTTGGTGATGTCATAGTAAGTATATATTTGCAATAATGGCATACTTAGTAAATGATTAGCTTGTTAAAAAAGTCCGAATGAAAATCAAGCAGGATGATATTCAACAGACTTTTTTTTTTCCCATGTCTAAAAAGTTGTTCTTGTCAAGTCCTTTTTCTTCATTTGTATGCACTTGAAATATATGTAGTCTGTCAGGGTTTTGTTTTTTCCTCTACTTCTTGTGGTGAAGAATAGCTATATTCATTTTAGCATAAATTAAATAACTTTTTAAGGGCATATGAAGACTGACATTTTTAATAAATACTAAAAATAGATTTCACTTGCTTATGCAGCATGTCTGTAATGCCACCTACTGGTTTTTATAATTTACATCTTTTTTACAGTGTAACAGTGTGCGTCTGCCATTTTACTATTGAGATGTCTTAAGTCCCATGACTGCATTTAAAATAATGCATTAGACTTATTTTTTTGTTTGAAAAAAGTTTTTGTTGAAGTGCTTTGAATAAATAAAGTAGGGAAAAGAGTATTTTCCTCTAAACTTCTAAGGTTACCAAATGTTGGTGTTCTTAAAATAAAAAAAAAAAAAACCAAAACCGTATTTAAAAAAAATCTTCTAAAAATTATTTCTTACTTTTTGTAAGTTCTTGGACTGCTGTTTTGACATGTCTAGAACATTAAGAAAAAATACCTTTTGTAGTAATCTATTCTAGGATAACCTTGTTAGGTTTTTAAACTTCTGCATTGGGTTTGAGAGAAGTTCAAGGCTGAGACGCACCTTGCTGTTGGGGTAGCATGTGATAACGTTTGATCTTTAGTTACTGTAGGAAATTGTAGTTTGTTTGGTGCCTGAGAAAGTACAGTTTACTGTACAGGCTGGTGCTGCTTTTCAGACAGGGAGTTCCATTGTGCTAGGGAAGGGGAGGTAATAACCAGAGGATTTTGTCCCTGGCCGCTGGATACTCTTTTAAATTACATTAAAATGTTAGGTTATTTCATTACCTATCAGTAATTAGTACAGCACTTATGTTAGCTATTACTCAATAATTGAGCCTCTTCATTATTAATTAATCTGAATTACTAATTATTAATATCATTAGTAATGATAATCTGCGTTATTAATCTGAACTTTATGATGAAACGTTGTTTTCTGTAATGGAATAAGAATTTTCTAAGTGTACGTATTGGAGGTTCTGTATTCGCTAAGTGTGATCTTTTTTCCTTTTTAGGAATTTCGGGAAGACATGCCTTCCATCCTAGCTGATGTATTCTGCATATTAGGTAGGTTGGGTTCCCTTCCTTTCAGCATTGCGATAGATTTGGAGAAATACATGCTTTCTGTGTTTTCTTGTTGACTTCTTCAGGAAATTTAATTGGATCTGTAAAGCATGACTTTTCTTTACAAAATGTGTTGATTCTTCCTCAGTGTGTCTGTATCTCAGTTGTTAATGTCCTTTCGTTCTTTATTCTGTTGTAGTTTCCAGAAGTTTACCTATTAAAGGCAGTGGAGATTGATCTGCCAAGAATAGTCAAAGGATCGAGCTTGTAACAGTGTTGGATGTTAGCTAATGGAATCAGTGACTTAGTGTTGTTATCATTCTTAGAGGTATTTTAAATAAAAGTTGCTTTACTGGTGTGTAGATGCTCTGTTCTCAGAATGTGTTCTGTAATTATTTTTATCTGTACGGTTCACTCTTAGTGAAATGGAGCTTGTACTAGTTGTCCAGAAATCTAAAGGCAAACGACATCATTTGCCAAGTTACTATCTGCCAACTGACCAGTTTAAAGATGTGTACTTCTTATACTGTTAATAACTGGATTTTTATGTTGTAATGTTGATCCAAAGCTGATTCTGTCATCATCTTAAAATTTTAATCCTGTATACTTTTTTCAGGATCGTAGTTTTAACTGCTTGCAGTTTTTATCTTGTTCTCTGTGTCTATGTTTTTTCAACAAATTTCAGCAAATTCTTTTTTGACAGTCTGCTCATCACAGATCCTGATTTGTTCTGTATACTGAAGGAGTGTGGTGTCTTCTGTGCTGTGGCTGCCTGTGCAGAGAGGCACCTAATTAAACTTGCGTATGCAGCCTTGGTTCTGTAACATCTAAATGATGAATTCTGACTTTGTTTTATTTGTAATGTTTCATTCTGTGTACTTGTATCATCTTTTTGTAATAATTAGTTTTTATAATGGAGTATTGCACTGATACCATTTTGTTTTTCAAGCTGGGTTAGAAAAATTAGTTGCTTCTTGAACTACATGAATAACTGAAACTAGTGTGTTTGTCTGCCTTTTTCTTTTTTTCCTTTTTTCTCACCCACTTGTGCTCTCTCCTTTTTTTTTCTTCCCCTCGTCTTTTTGTCTCCTTCCCTTCGAATTGACATGTAGCCAAGTGCCGTGCCTCCACTAGTATCAGAGAAATAGTATGGCTAAGGAGCTAGGTTTCAAACTCTGGGACAAAGGACGTTTGGCAATTTCCTGCTTGTTTTTAATGAGTTTCCTCTAATGCTTTTTTCTTCTAACCAGTATTTGCTGCTGTCAGGATTCCCCTCGTCTTTTTGTCTCCTTCCCTTCGAATTGACATGTAGCCAAGTGCCGTGCCTCCACTAGTATCAGAGAAATAGTATGGCTAAGGAGCTAGGTTTCAAACTCTGGGACAAAGGATGTTTGGCAATTTCCTGCTTGTTTTTAATGAGTTTCCTCTAATGCTTTTTCCTTCTAACCAGTATTTGCTGCTGTCAGGATTTTTTTTTTTTCCCCTAATGTTGTCATCTTATGGTTAATGTGTTTCAGTGTATGTGAATTTTGATTTATCCACTCATCCACATTCCCTGGACTAACTTTTTTTCTGCAGATTCTTCTTTGGCTGAGAGGCTTGGCTTCTGTGGTCCAGACTGATCTGGCAAGTCTGTTGCCTCCAATGCCACCCTGCTGCATCATTGGTTCTCAGTCTGTCTGGGGGTCTTTCTCGGATTTTTGTTGATGTTTTCTCTATGGGTCTAGTTTTTCTGTGGTTATGTGTGGGGGTGTTTTTGTGGTTTTTTTCTTTCTTTGTTTTTTGTAATGTCTGCCTTGTATTCTTCTATTGAGTTTTCCACTCCTTTTGCAGCTCCTTGCTTCCTGTAACGATGTGCTTGCTTTTTTAACTGCTTTGGCCAAGGAAGTACACCTGTCTATTGTCTTATGGCATATCTTCCTATAGGACTGAATTTAATAATTGCATTTAGTAGTTGACAATGCAAAAGAAAAGAATGGAAATACAGAGTCATAGCTAGCGAAAGACTGCAGACCAGGCAGTGAATGGTAGTTACTATGAAGACACAGGGACAGACTAGAACACTACTACATCAAGGCTAGGATCATGTAGTTCTCTTCAGAGATTCATATTTCTCTACTTTTGTGCTTATTATTGATTCTAATGCTTGCCGTAAACCTTACTGCAACAGAGAGAAGGGCAAGAAAAATTATTATGGCATTCCTCTGGTTTCTGTTTTACCTTTTCATGAGACTTGTGGATGTGTGAGAATTGTCATCAGAATATTATGTGGACCTCAAGGTGGGTGAGTGGGTGGAAAGTGGCAAGAAGCTAGTTTGTCATAAACAAGCTGCTTTGCATTGTGTTATCGTTAGCAGTTGTTGTAATAGTTATAAAAAGAAGAAACTCTTCTCAATTCCACAAGTAATGATTTCTTTTTTTTCCCTTTTTTCCCATCTTGTTTTATACTAGATATTGAAACAAGTTGTTTAGAAGAAAAAAGTAAGAGGGATCATTTTACACAACTGGTATTAGCCTGTTTGGTAAGTTGCACTTAGAAAGTCTTTTGTTAAAAGTATATGCCAAAATGTGTCAAGAAAAATCAGAGAGTTTTGAAGCTTGCTTTTTTCTCTTTCTTTCTCTCTCTTTTTTTTTTTTTTTTTTTCAGGAAAAGATTTTTAGAATGTTTTAACAAATTCCCAAATAATTTAAAAATGCATCTTCAAAACGTTATGGTAGAGTATTGACCAGCCGGGTTAGCTCAGTTGGTTAGAACCTGGTGCTAATAACGCCAAGTTCACAGGTTCAATCCCTGCTTACTGCAGGGGGGTTGGGCTCGATGATCTCTCAAGGTCCCTTCCAACCCAAAGCATTCTATGATTCTATGATTCTAATATAGCAGATTCATAGGAAAATTCAGCACATGAAAATAAGGCTTTTTCTCCCAGAATACGAGGGAGAATGGGTATAAGCTTTTGTAAATACGCAGTTCTTGGTAATAATATGCCTAGATGCTATGCAATGTATACTTTGTAACCAGCAATGAGGCTCTAGGGCTTGTTTCTTCAAGGTGGTCATGTGTATAAGATCTGCTAATCTATTTCAATTAAATAATTTTTCAGTTTTGTCCACATCTATGTTTGAAGCAGAATGCATTTAGTGTCATGGTATATAATGATATTTGAGGGTTTTTTTGTAGTCAGAATGCATATGTGGCCTAAAGTAATAATCATATAGTTTCTAGGTCTTTGTAATTGACAAATTTGATGTATGTTTTTGGTGTTTTTTAGTATCTTGTATCTGACACTGTCCTAAAGGAGCGTTTAGATCCAGAGACACTGGAGTCATTAGGACTTATCAAGCAGTCTCAACAGTTCAATCAGAAATCTGTTAAAATAAAGACAAAACTATTGTAAGTTTTGGGGCAAGGGTTGTTGGGGGGGGGGCAATGGTAATTAGTCTGGTAACAGCATTTTCTAACAGTGTGTAATGTTTCTTCTAATAAAATACTCAATTTTCTTTAGGAAATGTGTTTTGTTGCTCTTCAACTTGTCATTGACAAAAGAACATCGTTAACCCGCTTAGTTTTCAAACTCTTGAGAAATGTGAAATCTTTTTTTTACTGTCACCTATTGCTATGGCTTTTGCAACAGTGATTCCATATGTGCAGATTAAATATTTAATATTTAATTTTGTGTTTGACAAACGTGAACTTACAAAGTATAAGAAAATTAATTATCGCTGTTGCATCAGTTAAGCATAGGCATTTGTTTTTATAAATAAGCAAATGTATTTATGTTAGTTTTGGCCACACAGGATGTATTTTTGTGGTGTACGTTTGGCTTTTGTCTCTGCATCCAATGTTTCAGTCTCAATCTCAAAGAACACCACCTGAAACTAGAATAGGGCCTTGAGCACGGACTGTTACAGAACAGTTCTCCAGCACAGTGTGTAAGAACAAGCCTTACTGTAAATTATAAGCACAATCTTGCTTTTAAATGGTCTGCATTTGAAATAAAAGAAGAGCTGGATTTGTTTGGAGAATGCTCGCTACCTTGCAGGTATTCATTGTACTGCATTCTGTAATTTTTGCAATAGCTCAAGTAAATTACAAGTTCTTAAAAATGTGTTCAAAATTAGCATTTTGTATAATAAATGTAATATTGATAAGAACATGAATAAGTTTCACTGGGGACATGTGTTACACAGTAGTGTTTAATTTCTGTTTATTTGCAGTTATAAGCAACAGAAATTTAATTTGTTGAGAGAGGAGAATGAAGGCTATGCAAAGCTCATTGCAGAACTGGGGCAAGACTTATCTGGAAATATCACTAGTGACTTAATCCTTGAAAATATCAAGTCTTTAATAGGTAAGGAATTTGTTGAAGGAATATGGGCACCGGTCTTCCTACATGGTCTTACGACTACAGAGAGTGACTTTAGACTACTGTTTGAGATCATCTGTGGATCAAATAATATGTCATGCAGGCATGTAGTTCAATAGTAACACATACTGGTAGATCACCTTGGATAGAATTATGACACTTGGAAGTTCCTGTTTCTGTGGCATAATTGATTTTGGGAATGTTGTGTAGTTAAACTTAGCTTAGATACTGAATTTACAGTACAGCCTCAAATATGCATGCTGTGATTTTTGATTCATTTCAGCAGTATTTTTTGACGATGTGCTTGTCATCTCGTAGCAGGCGGACTGGAGAGTAACAAAGTAATGCTTTTTGCTATTATAAGGTACTCAGTTCAGTGAATGAATATTCTTTTAGTCTCAGTTTGAACAAGTGATTCCTTATGAAGAGAAATGAGAAGTAGTAAATGTTCTTCCTTTATCTAGTTCTGTTTGTGATTTGTCTGTATTTCTAAGTTGAGTCTTGGTGAGAGTGTCACAACCAAAAGTGCAAAATACATTAAAAACAGGAAATATCTGTAATTCCCCATGTTTTATACTTCCTTTTTGAATAAAGAGTTTTATACAATATATTGATGTCTGCACCAGTACCTGTTTCATATGCTGCCAGTGCAGTAATGGTCAAAAGGCTGTGCTACTATTTTTATAAGAGATGATTTTTTCATCTATCACCGAATTTTGCCCGAGACTGTCAAACCCCTGTAATAATACTACTTGTTTTGGAAGAGAGCTAGCTTTGCTAGTCATTACAGCAAAAAATACACACTCAGTTTGAGGAATTTTATAACAACATTTTTCTGTCTTCTGGAATTTCAGGAATTGCAAATAGGCTTCCTATAAATTGTCAATTGTTTTAAAGTACTGACTTGCAGTAGGTCCTGGTGTAGTGGAAATGGCTTTTGGGAAGGAAAGCTGATGCAATTATATATCTGCATAGTGATGTGCCTGGATAAAACTTCTCATGGCACAATTAAGAAAATAGTCTAGATGTGGACTCTTGATATAAGTAATATTTCTGGCTCGAGCATGTCTCCTGGAGTTCTGTTGAAAAAGCTTCTATAGTAAAATACAGGTATGATTGCAACATTGGCTTACCTGATCTGTATCCTTGCTCTTACTCTCCTCAAAATAAACACACTGTTCTACGTAATGCCAGCAATAATACTGTATTGACAGGACAGTACAACCAGGTGGATCAGGGTCTTGCTCAAACCAGAACAATTTTTGGGGTGTAAAATAATTTCTAACTGGCTGATTTGTGTGACTGCATGAATATGTGTGCCAGCACAAGGGAAAAGGAAGCAGCCAATGCCTTTTGCTAGCACTGTGGTATTAGTGAGGTTGGGTTTTTACTTAGTAAATGTTCAGCTTAAGATGGTAATTTCTAGTTTTTCTGTAATGTGGATTGAAAGTCCTGTTTAGTATCTTTGCCTAGTTCAGTATTCAACATAAGTCAAAGTGATCAATGCTGTATTTACAGAAGATCCAGATTATTTTGCTGTAGATAAATCCAGGCTCAATTTTAACTGAAAAGAATTAACTTTAAAAACTAACGCATTTGTGGTTTAGTAACAGAATGAAGATGAAAAGTAACAATGTTAAGCTTTTCTACTCTGTTCTTCTCCACTAGGATGTTTTAACCTTGATCCTAATAGGGTTTTGGATATTATCCTAGAAGTCTATGAGTGCAGGCCTGAGTATGACGACTTCTTTGTGCCACTGATAGAGTCTTACATGTACATGTGTGAACCTCAAACTCTATGCCATATCCTTGGCTTCAAATTCAAATTTTATCAGGTAATGTATTTCCATTCTTAATTTTTGTTTTTGGTGGTTGGTTGTACTCAGTGTTAAACTGCAGTCAGTGATAACACATTTTTGCTGCAGATTTTTTTTTTAAACATAGAAATTAATTTCTAAGTTGTGAAGATTCCAGTATTGAAAGCAATAATTTTATGATTTGAGTGGAAGTCTCTAATGTATTTTAGAGGAGAATGCTTAGAATTCTCTAAGACAGCTGAAAACAAGCTTGATACCTTCCATTTGAACTTCTTTAGTTATATAAGGACTGGCATTAATGAAGAGCCGGTACCTTATAAACAAAAGACTCTTGGGACAACCCAGGAGCAAAGAGCATATTTGCAAGGGAGTCATGGTTGATATTTGATAAAATTTTCAAGGTTTTTTAAAATGTATGGTTAGGAATTGCATACAAGCACTGTAAGGTGTGAATATAATTGAATGGTTTTGTTTCTGAAAATTCTGATTGTGTATCACAGTTAAGTCTAGTGGCTTTGGAGTAATAGCAGTTAAATAACATAACAAGGAGAACTGTGGGTTAATATGCTTCATCTGAACTTTGAGTAGTTTCTTGTCTGTTTCATGACCTTCTGTAGTGGTCTGATTGCCTTTTTTTTTCTTAAATTTGCAATCTTTTCCTTTTTTAGGATCCAAGTGGCGAGACACCTTCCTCCTTGTACAGAGTTGCTGCTGTCCTTTTGCAACATAATCTCATAGATTTGGAAGATCTTTATGTTCATGTAAGTGACAGTGCTACTCTGTCAAATGTCAAAACTAAGAAAATTTTAAAAGGAAAGCCAGGTATTTTACGCTATTCCTCAAGCTTCAGATTCAGGGACATACTGTGTAATACCTGTGTATGTACATATTTAAAGTCTTTTAAAAATTCCAGCACTTTCTAATACCGCATATTCAGATAAACACACACTGAAACATGAATGCTGATACACTGTCTTTGAATTATCTGTGTAGCATCCTCCAGATTGTTTACCTCCTGCCTGAATAGGAGATAGGTAAATGCCCGAGGATGCTTTAAATGTCAGAGTAACCTTCCTTAAGAACTAGAACCTTTGAGTGTTTTGCTTTACAAGATCAATTTTTGAAAAAAGTGATAGGACAATCAGCTCCTAACATTCTTTGTTTAGTTTAATAGTAGGACTTTTTTAAAATTCTTACCTGTTCCTGAATAGGCCTCTCATTCCATCTACAAGAATTCTGACCATTTGTTAGGTTGAAAGAAGAAAACGGAGTTATATGTTCAGATTTATTCAGAGACTTACCTCTCCAGTCTAACAGTCTTATCAACCAACCAACATGCCAATTTGGCAGATGGTATACAGAATGTTATAGTTATCAGAATAATTTTACATTATACATTAATCTTTAATTTATGAATACCCATAGATATTTTAAGACTCTTAACTCTTCCACTGAAATCAAGGAACTAGGCTCTAGTTACTGCTATGGAAATCTTGGAATGTAGTCCTACCGTTAATTTGTGTGGCAGTTAATGGCATTAGTCACAACCTGACTTGTCAATAACTGTCTCTGGCTTCATAGGAGTATTTTGGCTAAAAATGTGTTGGGTGGAGCAAGAGTAGGAGTGCATGTCTCAGATAATCAGTGTGGAGGAAGGAATGTGCGATGATGATGCTAGCTTGTTAAGGAGTGTTTGTAAGCTTACAAAACAAATGCTCAGACTTGGAATTACAGTGGCCTGTGGAATTTCAACGTAGACCTGTATAGGTATGGGCATGTTTTCTCACAGTCTCACAGCCAGAATGGTCCCTGCATTCATTTATACTATTCACCTTCGTCATGTTGAGTCTCAGTCTCATTTTTAGTCTCCTTTCATTCCAGAAGCTCTCTGCCAGTCTCTGTCTTTGCATGTTTGGGATGGCTTTTTTTTTTTTCCCTCTGTCCAGTTCAGGCTTAAATCAACTTGCTATGGGAGTTTCAAGAAAATAATTAGCGTGTAGGTGTTGAGTCTTAAGTGGTATATGTTGTACGGCTCCTCTACAATAGCAGCTGTCAGTATTATCGTTCAAGATATCAAGAATGTTCTCCCCACCTCTGCCCTCCCTTCCCCTTCCAAGCCTGTAAGAGCTGTTTTCTCTTTGTGTATATATACACACAGCAATATATAAAAAATATGTATTGCATCCTGAAGATATGATTTACCCTTTGAAATTCTGCTTTAGGTATTTCTTGATGAATCTTTGTAGGTTACCTGTGTTTTCAAATGAAAAAATGTGTAGCTCTTTAAACCTTCTATCTTTCCAAGTGGCATACTTTCTAACCCCAATTTCTGTGAAAATGAGGAGTTCTACTCTCTTTTCTCAGAAGAAGGTGATGCTTAGTCTTTCCTTCTGCTGTCAGTTTAGGAGGAGAAAAAACAGTAAAAACCTTCCCTTGTTAAAAATACTAGAAGAAAAGATTACTGTATCCAAGAGGTCATGACTCTACTGTAAGTTTTGATTACTTATTTGCAGTTAAAGTTTAAGCGTGATTTTAGGAATTGGATTGAAGTTTGGCTTTGTCAGAAAAAGAGCTTTTCTTTTGTCTCACAACTTGACCTTTTAATTTTTGGGTGCAGGGTTATATTCCTCACCGGGATTGTTCTCAAGTACAAGACTATGCTGAGGTTTTATCATACTAGGTATCCCTTAATGTAAGATGGTTTTTAAGGAACAGATATTATGTGTGTTTAACCCACGTTGCTGATAAATAGGAAATTTGGTAAGCTTTAAATGGTATTCTGTTATTTTAAAGTGCAATCAAAATGTGTGTCTAGGTAGGTTACCTGGTTTGCCTTGGTGATTAATTTTTTTTTCCCTTTAGATGAGCAAGTGAAAACTTACACTTTTGAATATTCACTTTGTTTTAAGGCACTGAATTTTGTAAATGTTACCATCAACTATGTGCATAATTGTCACCATATAGGTACAGCTGAATGGTAAATTGGAGAGTGGAAGGGGACTGTACACAACTGACAGTTGTGAGGAGGTAGAACAGTATTATTTCTCATGAGTCCTTGATTTCAGAATAGTCTGTTAATAGTATACTTCCTTGTTGGGATGGTGGTAGCAAGGAAAAGAATCTTTCAGAGAGTAAGTTTATCTGATTAGTAACAAAGAAGGACAAACTCCTGCTTCGAGCTCAAGTGATCAGGAGTAGTCGTAGGTCACTTTAATTTTCAGATATAATGTTTGTTCTGTTTTTTTAGCTTCTTCCAGGGGATAATGCCATCATTGAGGAACACAAGCGAGAGATAGTGGAAGCTAAGCAAATTGTCAGAAAACTTACGATGGTCGTCTTATCCTCTGAAAAGACTGAGGAAAAGGAGAAGGAAAAAGAAAAAGAGGAGGAGAAAACTGAAAAGGTGTGTGTCTGTGAATAGTTTCCTTTCTAAGAAAATTATTTTTAAATTATTTTAAACTAAACATAATAATTGTTATGAAAACATTTTTACATCATTTTTACATTTATTTGAAACACAGAGGTACATACTTCTTGGAAGGCTTGTGTCTGTCCTCTGATTGCACTTCTGTTATATTGAATGCATAAAAATGCGTGGTTTGGGGTTTATTCTGGATTTCTCTAGGTTTAATGTTCTTGGTTCAATGGCTAATTTTTTTCCTCCCTTTTTGTTGCATCAGCTCCACTGAGTATGTCCTAGCATTCGTATGCTTCAGTCTTTAACAACTCTGTTTTCTAGGACCCACGATGGTATAATCCTAGTTGATTTCTTAAAAATAAGGACATTAGTAAGAGTTTATTCCTTATTTCTCTCAATTTCTCTCAAGAATTGGGATGCAAGGAATTGTCAGACTTAACGAATGCTGGTACAGTTATCCTGCATTGTAGAAAAAGGTTTTAACTGAAAATTTTTAATTGTAACTGTCCACTGTGCTTTCCATTGCATCTGTATCTTTGTATGTGTAAATGTATACTCTTTATTTAAGGTGCTACTATATCATGTATTGTTCATGTTGCCCTAGGTCTAATTTTGTTTCAGTGTGTCCAAGGCTTACTTTAAAACCAAAATTATTTAATCTCTTAGGAGCCTTTCTGTATCTTCATTTGAGTGTCTAAGTACTGCTCAAACATCTTATTTAAAACAGAAAAAGTAAAATAAAAGCTTGATATTTACATTTTATAGGTAGTGTACTGGAGAGGGGGGAGAGGTCCATCAGTCTTGACAGTTTCTGTTCTTAATTTTCTGTATCCTCCTGAATTCATTATATCAATCTATTTGGTCTACTTATTCCTGTTTGTTCTACCTCACCTTGATTCTGTACATCTCCGACCTTCCTTCCTTCCTTCCTTCCATTTTTCTTGCCTAGCCTGAAGAATCTAATTTTATTTTCTTCCCTCAGGCAGCTGATGTATTCACTGCTCTCTGGCTCTCAACCGCAGCCATATCTGCTGCTTAAGCTGGTTCCTTTCACTAGCTTTAAGTTTCTGACCTCCCTCCCACTCATTGTTTCAATATCCTTTTTGATTATACCACGTTGCTTTGGTCCACCTTCTCTGCAGTCAGATGAGGCTGCCTGGTATTCTGTGAAGCGTGCATGTCACCATGTTCTGATGGAGAGCTAAACTCTTGATGGGGCGTGGGGAGGGTATATATTGCAAGTAATGTCAGAAGAACTAAGACAGTTCTTATGACTAAGGTTTAGGATTAAGAACTAGGGAAATTCAAGCTCTAGCAGAAATGGCAACATTTTTCTGAAGGACTACAATGGCAAATAACTGAGCCTGTGTGATGGGAAAATGGAGAGCTGTACTTAACAAAAACAAATTCTGGGACTGCATGCTGTTATGCAATGCATGCTGTTTCTTGAAAAACTTGTTTCTGTGTTAGTATTTTTGTATGTGATTAGCTGTGCAATTCGTAGCAATTATTAGAGTAACTACATGTGAAAGCTGTTGACAATCTAAACTTGAGTACTTTGTACTTTTTAATGTACAATTTTTTGATACGGTACCATGGAATAAATGCCTGGATAAGGAAAATGGTGTCTAATGATTACTGACTTAACTTCTCTTTTAAATCCACAAAGTGCTTATTTTGTGTGGTTAAATTTTATTGTTGTCTCATGACTCTAATGCGAATAATTTTAGTATTGGCAAATGCATTGTCTACTTTTGCCTTTTAAGATGTATTTGACATAACTGAATAATACTTGAGAGGTCACAGAACTCAGCAGTATGACTAGATTTGACAGCAATTCCAGACTAACTCTTCTTGTGCCATGCATGCTTTCGCAGAGCGTGTTTCAGAAGAGCTTGCTTACCTGAAGAGAGACCCAGTCAAGCTGCATGCATGTTTAAAATTCTTAAACTATTGTCCTAGATTTGTAATCTTCCCTCCCTCAGTTTAAACATCATCTTAGGCTTGTAATTACATACAGCTAGTTTGCAGTCATATTCCTTACTGTTTACTAGACTTTTACTAGACTGTAAAATAGAGTTTTACCTTGGGAACCAGGGAAAACCAATTTATAATGATAAAATATATCGATACCATGTCCATGTAAAAATGCTTCAAGGCATGATCTTAATTGTAAACTCCTGTTTCCTCTTACACTTATATTGTAAAATGGGATATTCGGAAAACTTCCTGTAGACTTGCACGTAAAACTAGGCTCTCCTAGAGTAGATGCTAATATGAAACTTTTATGATACAGGCAAACTAAGAGACAGGTAAAGGTTTTGGGTTTGGTTTGGTGTTGTCTGTGGATTTTTTGGTGTTTTGGGTTTTTTTTTATTTGGTTGGGTTTTTTTTTAAATCTGATTTTGCAAGAGAAATTTGTGCTTCTAAATCCAGAACAACACACAATGCAAAGGATTCTTAAATGCTTGTGTTGTTCTTAAAATGTAAAGAAATAAGCGGCAACAGATTGTGACATTTTGAAAAGTGCATGATTAGGCATGTCGGACAACTTTATAAGCTTCTGTTTTGAACTTAATTTTTAATTTTTTTCTTTGATCCAGATGTTGGATTCTATGTGGACTGGTTTATTATTGCTTTTGAAGTGTGCTTATTGTATAAATGCCTAGCTGAATTTTATTTTACATAGTGTTTTTTTATTGCATAGTTGAAATACTAGGTTTTGTCTCTAGCTGTGGATTACAGCTGCATGCTGCTTAAGGAGAAATATTAAGAAGACTTTGCGATTACACTTTTTCATTTTTTGTTGTCTTGCAGCCTCCTGATAATCAGAAGCTTGGTTTATTGGAAGCTTTATTAAAAATTGGTGATTGGCAGCATGCACAAAGTATTATGGATCAGATGCCTCCATTCTATGCTACTTCACACAAGCCTATTGCAATTGCCCTTTGCCAGCTTGTGCATGTGACAATTGAACCTCTGTACCGCAGGTAATGAGAAAAGTAGAATTCTGTTGCTACATAGGGGAAAACTACTACTTATTTATAAGCATGAATTCACTAATAAGCCTAACTGTATTGATACATTTCTAAAATTTTCACTTCTGTTTAATGTGAAATGCTGCATATCTTATTTTTCAGAGTTGGTGTACCTAAAGGAGCTAAAGGGTCACCCATTTCTTCTTTGCCAAACAAGAGAGCACCAAAACAAGCAGACAGCTTTGAGGACTTGAGAAAGGAAGTGTTCAACATGCTTTGTTACCTTGGTCCTCATCTCTCGCATGATCCCATTTTATTTGCAAAAGTGGTGCGCCTTGGAAAAGCATTTATGAAAGAGGTTGGTATGACAGAACAGTTTGTCAAAACTTGAAAAATACCAATTCCTCTGATGTCAAAAAATGCTCAAGTCTTGCTAAGTGTGTATATATTCAAATACTGAAACGTAAAAAAATTCTTTGTCTAAGGACAAATTTGGAGAATCTTATTTTAATTCTTGATCACTTTTATGATCAGTAAACATAACAAGCATTTTTATGAACAACTTAAGGCACTTTAGGTTTATAACCAGGAATGTTTAGTGATAACTAATTTCTCATTATGGTCTTTATCTTATAAAACATTATCTGTGTATGGATTTTTTTTTAAAAAAAAAACAAAAACAGACATGATACTAATTGCATGGAAGCTTTTACATTATTAGAGCGACAGTGTAGACAATGGGGAACAATAACCTAATACATGTGCAGTACTTAAAATAGTGCTTTCTATTCCACCCATTAGGTTACTTGGGAAGTAGGGGATGTTGCATCTTTTTAATTGTGGGGTGTCCCCCTGTTCTGCCAGTTAAAATGCTGCTGCTCTTGAACTTGTCAGTGACAAATCTCTGGATGCCACTAAGGATGAGTTCAATGTGGAGATCTAAAACACCCTATAAAGCCTCAAGTTGCCAACTTTAGAAATAAAATGGCCTCTTGAGATTTGTTGTTGTCTTTTGACCATATCTTTACCATGTATATATTGAAAGGTTGGTAGTATGACCTGTGTTTAAAAGGCTGCAAGTTGAATTTATATTCTGAACTCCCTTGAAATGTACTCAGTAGTTAAGGCTGAGGCTAGTGACTACTTTTGCTACTTTCCTGGCAATTTGCTATTTGACTAGCAGTTTTTGTTTATTTTCAAGTCAACAATAGAAGGGGTTTAAATTTTTTTTTTTTAATAGCAGGTCAGAGAAGCCTTGGAATTTATAGGTTTGGGAACAATTTTTTAAAAATTATTATCATTATTGTTATTAAAAACAAACAAGCCCCCCCAAACTTAAAAAGCTAAGTAACAAAAATAGTGATTTTTTTGTTACCTCTCCAACTTGCAGTTGTAAGTTTGGTTGATCTAAATAGTACTGGAGGGGAGATTTTCAGTTTTATAACTTTTTTTCTTAAAAGTATTTCTTTTATTTCAACTACAACTAACAAATACTGGAATGTTCAAAATTTACATACCAGCTGAGGGGAATCTTTCATGTCCAGCTGTACTTGATGATGCAGAGCTAAGAACACAGATAGTTCTTGGGATCGAAGATCTTTTTGTCTAACTTTTTAACAGATTTTGGCAAGAGAGTTTGCTCTCGTCAGGTTCCAAGATGCAATGGTAGGGTGACAGATGCTACACTAAGTTTGGGTTCCAAGTACTCTTTGTAAATAAATCATGGTAACTTCAAGCATTTCCATCTTCCCCTGCTTCCATATCTTTGTAGTAGGTATGATTTCTCAGCATCTTCTCATCCAGAATGATAAGATTTCCCAATGGTTAATACTCTTGCTTTATAGCATGCTTATTTCTTGCTGGCCTGTGAGAAGATTGATGTCAGAGTGATATGCAAAGTTGCACTGACAATGCAGTTTAATTTGGAAATTACAATTTCAAGGGAGTAATTCATTTTACTGCTGTCAGCAGACTATTAGGACTACTTTGTAATTAAGTTCAAGTACTGAAGGTTCATGAGAAAGCCCTTGTTTCTGTGGATACATACAGTAGAATGGAGGTTACTTGGTTATAGGAATCTCTCATGTAGTTTTACTGTAAATATATGAATATAATAGTTTAATGTGTTTCTGACAAGAATGAGCAACATTTTAGCTATTTGCTCTAGGTTGGAACTATGAAGAAATTCGTCAGTGACAAAGTGGTTAAGGTAACATAGGGAAAGTTATTTTTTAATGCACTATTGCCATCAGCATGTTCTAGTTATGAAACTACATTTAACACACAGTAGAAGTACTTATAACTGGAGGTGATTTTGACTGTAAGTTAACCCATACAGTAGTTTAAAAGTTAGACTACTAACATTGCACTGCAGCTTTTGTGCTCAAGTGTACCTTTAAAATAATTGTGCACTACTGGTGTGATAGCTGAATATGTATTTCATGGTGAGTCAAACAAAAAAAGAGAAAAGAAAGTAGTTTAGTAATGAAGACTATAAGCTTAAGAGGGTAATTGTGAGAGAAATATGGGGAAAATAGTCTATGGCTGTTGATAATTGGGTTGGAAGTCCTGGGGGTTTTTTTAGGTAGAAGGTGAATGCTTAGGGCATTATTCTTTTTTCCTCTCTCCAGTAAGAAAATTCAGCATTTCATATATAATAGTAAGTTTCCTTGATAGTTTAGTTATTACCTCTTTTTGAACAAAAGTGTGCAAAGCCCCTATGTATGTAAGCAATGCGTTTCATCTATGCAGTTGAACTTCTGTTCAAAAATACTTTAATGCTGACAGATCTGGAAAATTAAACATTTACTAGATATGTGCCTTTACTAGGCCCTTCAGGTTTATGCTTTTGCTGAGGTAGCCTTGTTCTGAAACTGTTATGTTAATTATGCTACAATTAACATGATTATCTTTGTTATAGTTTCAGTCTGATGGAAGCAAACAAGAAGATAAAGAGAAAATGGTGAGTTTATTTTGGAGAAAGGTTATTTTATGTGAGACTGTAATTAAGATAGAATTTTTAATAACTGAACAGCTCTTCCTTCTCTGTAGAGTTTTATGCTTTAACAAATGTATGTTACAGACTTGCCTTGATTTTTATAAGCAAGTTTGAGCCAGTCACGGGGTTGGTTTTTTGTTTTCCTGTCCCTTTCTTTCTTTTATTTTCCTTTCTCTCCTGCATTCCTCAAACCTAATCTTGTTCTTTTAGTCCAGTGCATTCTGCTTCTTATTTGCTCAGAATCAGCTGGAGTACCTCCAACTATTTATTCTATAATACACTTTTCATGGTGGCACCTTGAATCTTAAAGAATTTACTGGCAAAAAGCATAGAGAAGGAGAGAAATTAGAAATAGGGGAGGTGTTTAATAGTACAATGGCAAATTTTTATTTATTGGCTAATGTATTTATTTCCAAATTTTCTAACTTACTGAATTATCAAGATTGGTCACAATGAAACCTAAGTGTCCAGTTGAGATCTAACTTATAAAAGCAAGTTTTGGTTTGTGGGTTGCTTTTTTTTTAAAAAAAAAAAAACAACAAGCAAGTTTTCAATATGAAGTTTGCGCAGTTTTCATTATTACTTTTATTACAAGTGAGAAATTAATGTTGGTTGTTTTGTTTTGGTTTTTTTTTTTCCCTGCTATGGTTATTCTAACATAGCTCAATGGGAAAGAGAGATGTTTAAGAAAGAGTGAGGATAGGATACTGAAAACATGGAAATTGGTACTGTGCCTTGGGAACATGTATCATGCCTTCATGTTTTATCTGGAATTCTGAAAGTTGAAGTAGTGGCAAGGAATACCTTAGTACGTTGAAAGCGGTTGCCAAAATCTATTTTCTCCTGTTGCACTTCGTGCAAGTCCACAGTATATCCATTTTTAAATGATTGATTTGATTTGAAAATGAGTGCAGCTTGCTGAAAACTTCAGCAGCTTTGCTCAAATATCTCATATAGGCAAATAAGATATTCACAGTATCTATGGTCCGTAAATTATCTCATAGAAGATTTATGATGGGAGATAGTTTAAAGTCCTTTTTAGATTTTTGTTTTGTTTTCATTTAGGAAGTCTTAATCTTGTGGCAAGCTTATGTTTTATCAGTCTACTAAGATGCGCAATTCGTGCATAGCTGCATAGCATGCATAACATTGCTTCTGATGTACTTACTTGATAGTTACGTCAAGTTTTTTGTTTTTATCTCAGGAGATACTATTTAGCTGTTTGTTGAGTATTACCGATCAGGTCTTACTTCCATCTCTTTCTTTGATGGACTGCAATGCATGCATGTCTGAAGAATTATGGGGCATGTTCAAAACTTTTCCATACCAGTACCGGTGAGTAGAATAATTTGTTTCCATTCTTTAGAAGCGTCCTCTTAAATTGTCAGTACTAAAAATAGTTTTCCTTTATAATCTTTCAAGGTACCGTCTTTATGGGCAATGGAAGAATGAAACATACAACAGTCACCCACTTCTAGTGAAAGTTAAAGCTCAAACCATAGACCGAGCCAAATATATCATGAAGTAAGTTGTCTAATTCCATAAATAATCATCAGCCGTGATACAATGTATTGCATGTCACCAACTGACAAAAAAAAACTTGACAAATACATTTCCTTTCTAATGACTCTGTGATTTCACTGATAATCCTTGTTCATGAAGTATTTAATGCACTTTAATTTAATTTAAAAACTGTCAAATAAGTAAGGATACAGACAAATTTGTCACCAACAAGGGTATTTCAGGTGTGAAAAATGTCCCATTAAATTATTTAAAACCTTTTCCGTGGGTACGCTGTTGTTTGATAAATTGCTTTCATAGAATCATAGAATCGTCTAGGTTGGAAAAGACCT